CAAGAACATTGTTGTATCCAGGTCCGAGCAGCCGGCGGCTTCCGCCGCCCGCACGTCCTTACACCTCGTCGCCTCACCATTCCCGTAGTGCATGTCGGCTACCTAGTCAAAGCAAACAAGCGCAAGAGAGAAAGAGAGAGTCAGGATAGAGGGTGAGAAAAGAAAGGCGAGGAGAGAAGAAGAAGGATAACCTGAAGAATCTTGAAAACGCCATCACGGCGGAATCGGAGGGGGAGCTCCGCAGTCCTCTTCAACCTTACAGTGGGCCGTCCGATCGCAATCGGATCCCAAAGGAATAGATAAAAAGGAAGCGGAAGGAAGAGGAGGAAGGCATCAGTAGCGGCGGCATAGGTCGGCCCGCCATACAACCCTCTACATTTCCCGATCGCCTGCGCTGATATTTTTCAGAGTAATCCACTCTGATTATAGTACTTGAGAGATTTTCATAAGTGACAACTTCCAAATAATTTTGAAAAATGATATTTACATATATACCATTAATTATTATGTATTTTTTAAAAATGACCGTTTATGCTTAAATAAAATGAAATATATATATAAAAATTGAAGTTTAAATATAATCACATACGTAATAGATAAGTCTTAAGCACCCCCCCCCACCAAAAAATAAAAAAGTTTTTTTTTTTCAAAATAAATTTAATAAAATCAAGATGTTCTGAAATAAAATATAATGGAATTACATTTATTATAATTATTTCTTTAAAGAAAATAAGCCATCAACTCAAGAACTCACCACCAACTCACTCACAATATTGAAACTTTATTCAATTTTATTGCATCCCTTCACAAATATGTGTCATATTGTCTTTAAAAATATTCATGTCATCAAATATATTGGTTGGAGCACAAATTTTGACATAATTTTAAATTATAAATATGCGCTATATACATATCAACTACAATAACACTCGTAAATAAGAAAAAATATTACGTCAGGACTCCTAACGTACAACTACGTTCGGAGTCCACTGATATACAGACACATGAAAATGACAGAAAAAAAATCGTTTTAACGCAGGAGAATATTACTCCCGTATTATTCCGCATTATTCAGATATTATTGTAGTGATATTCATGTGTTATTGTATTCTGGGAATATTCTCATTGTTATAATAAACAATAACACATGAAGAATATTCTTCTGTGTTACCGGGCCGGATAACAAGAAAGCGAGTACATTTCCTTGAAGCCACGTGTCCGCATATCAGTGGACTCCGAACAAAACTCTACGTTAGAAGTTTCTACGTTAGGAGTCCTGATGTAATATTTTTCACGTAAATAAATTAGTCCTAAATGCAATAAACAAGTTCCATCAATTTTAACGTAATCATCATCTCCTTAAAACATATAAACATTTGAATAACAAATAAATGTAAAATTAATTCTAAAATCAACTTCATTTTAGACAAATCAAGCAATAACAGTAGCACCTACACGAACTGAACATTTGATTTCTGATTACACACATCTATAATCTATTAGAGACAAATTATAAACCAAATAATGTTTTTATTTTTTATTTTTTACTATTAGAGACAAATTATAAACCAAATAATGTTTTTATTTTTTATTTTTTATTTTTTTTTTGAAAGAAAAGAGAGAATAATAATGTACAACAAATTTCCTCCTCTTTTAGGCTGTTGAATGACTCATGTATGGTTTAAAATCCAACCTAGAGAGCTGATGTTTGTCAGTATTTCTGAGGGGGGGTGAATATAAAAAATAATAAATCACACCCAAACCTCAAAAAATCACTATAATACTATCTGAAACCCAACAAGGTTGCTTAGTATTGATTGATGATGGCTATACAAATGCTCCAGTTTTCCTACTAATTGCAGATTTCTGCCACCGGAGAGCTCCAGAAAAAAAGAATCAAACCTGCATTGAAATATTAAACTTTTAATTTAGATTGAAAGTTGCAAAGTGAAATAAGAAATAATTCTATAGCAAAATTCCGGTGGAAATGGTAATTTGGCCATTTGGGTGATGTTGGGAGGAAGATAGAAATATCCACAAGTGCAGAATTTTGCACATCTACCCACCCAAGTGCACACTTTTGCACATCAAAATGGTGCCTTGTCTCTTTAGGATATGTCATTTTAGTCCAAGGTTCATAAAAATGTCAACTTGGTCCCAAAATTTTCTAATAGTAGCTAAAATGCTGCTCTTTTAAAAGCGTCTTGGGGGCCAATTTGGCAATTTTAATAAAATCAGATTCATTTTGGTGAATTGAAACAAATATTTTTTAATTAGTAACCTCCCAGCACATGTCAATAAATGTTTGCAGACAAATAGATTTTCAGAAAAAAACTTTTTGAGTTTAAATTTGTAGATAAATATAATGATGACTATGATAGAACATATGTAAATAAACATAAAAAATCAAGCTAATCAGGACAATAATCAATTAAGAAAAGCTGGACAACCTAATAACTTACAGAAAAATTTTCTCAAATGAAACTAGCAAGCAAAGCATGCAGCGCAACCCAATACATAAAAAATGCGAGCCTCAGAGTTGGTTGTCTCATTAACAATCTCTCGGCAGATACCCTGAAAAATTTGCCATGAATAAACAGCTTGTTCAGCAAGTATTAAAGAAAATTTATCAATTAGAAAGATAGAAGAAATCAGAAATAATGCGAACCAAATTCCATCAATCCTGTCTGCAATAGGTCGGGTGGCTCGTGGGATTAGCCGAGACTTGGTTAACGATTTGAATCCATGTGCTATAACAGTATAAAAAGAAATACACGTTAAATTCAATCTTAAGTATTTATGATGTAAAATCAATTTGATAAGAAAAGCAAAAAATGTAAATTGTACCTTTGTCATCATCTTCATCTTCTAATACACCGTCATCTTTTTTAGAGTCAATAGCTATAGCAATTTGGTCGTTGTTGAGTTTGCGTCCGCTTCGTACAATGGTGGCGATCGAGGCTGACGATGCCTTGTTTCTCTGCATCTAAAATACCGAAATGATATAAACAACAGACATTATACAAAGTCATTAGAACTAATATGGGGAAATTTCTTAAGATAAAAAAATAAGGGCTAGGAACAAAACATGGTCCATAGGGGTGTCAAATCGGATTCGCAAATTTAAATTGACCCGATCCAAAAATGCTCGACTCAAAACCACTTCAAATATTAAATGGGTTAGAAAGTCCAACCTGAACCAAACTTGCTAACCCGAACCTGATCCATTAAACCTATTTAACATAAAGTATAATAGTTATTCCGATCAAATCCGAGTCGATTTCGAGTCAATATCAAGTCAATTTCAAATTGGCGGGTTGATTTCTAATCAATCACAGGTTAGGTTGTCAATTTCGGTTTGACAACTCGACCCACACTTAACCCAAAAAATTAAATGGGTTAGGATTCCCATTTCGGTTTTACACGTGCCACCTTAGCTATGCATGAAAATGTGTATTTAACTTTTGAAAAGTAAAAAAAGTGGCATTTTTTTTATGTGATATGAATGATTTGGGGATTATAAAAGTAAAAATGAAAATTTTGGTGTTAGATATGTAAATAAATGAGAATTGGGTGGTTTTCCCAATAACAAAATATTGAACAAGAAAATACTTATTTACCATTTGTTCAAATTCCAAAGTTCCTGATGAGTTGCTACTTCTTTGTTGCTCGGAATCTCGACCGCCTTGAGATTGCTCTAACCTTGCCTTTCCATGTAGGGAACTTTCGAGACTTTCTACTCTCGATAGAAGTTCTTCGATCCTACCCTGTTCAGTTTCCAGCAAGGCATCTTTACATTGAACCATAGCACGCAGCTCCTCTAGTTCGTAAATAGATGAGGCAATCTTCTTGCCCAATATGTCAATGTACATATGCATCTGATTAGCTTCCTGATAATCAAATTGCACAGGACCTCCAAATTGAGAAATCACGCCTTTCACCAAGGTAAGCAACTCCTGTAATTCAGATGAATACTTCTTGTTGTTCTCTTGTGAGGCCAAAAAGTCATTTGTACACCGAGTTACCTCCTGACGCAAAAAAGAAATCTCCAAATCCCGTTCGTGTAACTGCGACTGAAGATTTTCTACTTCTAAAAGAAGGCTTTCTGACAGATTATGTAATTCATCAAACTTGTTGACCGTTGTCGAAAGCTTTGCCATGGCCTTTGCATGAGAGGCTTCAAGATTCTCCAACTGCAAAACCTTTTGTTGTAATAAATTTTCCGATTCCTTTTTTATGCTTTCCAGAGCTTCCATTTGAGTTTCTTGTTCATCAAGAGCTTGCATTAAGGCTTCAATTTCTGAAAAAAGCACGGCGGAAAACTTCAAATTCAAAGAACTATTAAAATAAACATGACATTTTCTCAATAAGTTACCTTGATCTTTAGCATTCAGAGTTTCAGTTAAAGAGTTGATTCTCTCCTGCAGCAGCTTTGACAAAGCCTCCACATCTTGTAGCTCATTCAGCCTCAACTCTATTGAGTTTCTATTAATTTCCATTGTCTTTACCTTCTTCTCCAAGTTGGAGAACTGGTCCCTTGAAGAGTTAAGATCAGCCACCGACCTTTTAGCAACAGCCTCAGAATCTTTTATCTGAGAGACAAGCTCTTCACAAACCCTATTCATTTGTAAATCCTTCTCCTGAAGTTCTCTCTGTAATGTTAAAATTGTGGCATTTAATTCCTTCTCAGTACCCTCGAACACCTCGTTTGTAGATCTTGCGTCCTTCATGGTTGATAAAATACACTCTACCATCAGTTTGATGTTGTCATTTATGGAATGAACACCTTCAACTTCTTCCAAATTGGGATAACTTGGCAATTCTCCAAAATTTTGGCTATTTCCAGTAATTTGTGATTTCCTCCTAAAAGTCTCCATAACTGATGTGCTACAGACTTCATAAAGCAGAGTTAAGTTTCTATAAATTGAACTGATGATAGTATCCTTCTTCTTAAGCTTTGATTCAAGAAGTCTGATATCAGTCTTTAATGACTCTGAAGTATCTTTCAAAGACGAGTTTTTTCTTTTTACAGCATCAACAGTTTCTAACAGATACACCCTTTTCTTGTCAAGCAACACCGAATGCTGGCAAATACGTTCTCTCAGCTCAGTGCAATGACTCATACATTCATGTAATGCTTGGTTGGCAAGTGCAAAATGTTCAAATAGTAAGGTTTCATCCAAATTTTGGTGCATCTTAAATTGTGCAGAATCAGAAATGGACAGAAATATTTCCTGAAATAACATTCTATAATAAGAAAAAGAGGAATGTCGTATATAAAGAACATAATAAATTTTCCCGTGACTAGTTCTAAAAAATGTCATGGGATGTATTATTTTGCATAAAAATTCAACTATTGTTTACGCCACATATATTCTAATAAATGATTCGAATTTAACAAAACAAGGGGTTAGCATTAGTAAAACAAGGACTAAATATAGGATATGCACTTTTCACTGGTATGATATTAGCAGCCATAACTCAATATTATCAAAAGCTACTGCAATACAAAATATGAAGGAACTGAGATATAATTGAAGTTATGATTTCTAGGATATAGTGGTCGGCTAAAATGGAGATGTGCCTCAAGCGTAAGGCTGTAATCGAGCCGAGCCGAGCCATGAATATCATAGTTCGGACTTAGCTTGGTATAATTACAAGTTCATATTTGGCTTGAGCTTGTTTCGAGCTTTCATATATTGTTCAAACTTGACTTGTTTAAATTTTCCAATATTTGGAATTGATTTGTTTATGACAAACGAACGAGTATTTAAACGAGCTAAAAATTCAAACGAGTATCTTGATTTTCATACAAAAAAAAATTAATAAATAATTTTACAAATTTCATCACATATTTTCATTTTTTCTCCATTTTGCCCTAAATCATTCGCTTAGGAGATGTTTAGTAGAATAATTTGCATAGCATTTAAGCATGATTTAGCATAAATCCTACAAAACAACTAAAAATGACAACTTTAAAACCTACATAAAGTTAATATCAAGTATTTAGATATCATATATGATACGAACTATCATCGTCCTATCAACAAACAAGTTAATATTCTAGTTAATCAACTTTTACTTAAATAATATATCTTATATGATATGAGCTATCATCAAGCTTAATAGCAAAAATTTAAAAAGGTGTTTGTTGAACAAAAAACGAGTTTGTTCATGAACATAAATGAACAAATTTGATTTTGTTCGTGTTTAGTTCATTTAAGCTTCGAGCTTTTAAAAATTATTCAAGTTTGTTTATTTACTAATTTGAACGAACATGATCGAGTCTTAATCGAGCTAAGTTTGACTTGTTCATTGAGTGTACTGGTTCATTTATAACCCAACTCAAGCGTATATTATATGTAAGAATATATCAGGAAAACATAAGGATAAATATAAAACTAAAAAGCTATTAAATGGATTATAGAGTTCAGAAGTAGGAAGGTGGTAGACAGCTATGTGAGCGTGAAAAAAATATGAATATTATGATCAACGACAAATAGCTTGGAAGGGTAAACTAAGGAACGGTTATAGCAAACAAATAATTAGAACGATATTTATTAAAGATAAAGTTGTTAAAATTAGACTTCTGCAACTTTAAAACATGTACAACAAAGGATGAAAATGCATCCATTAAATGGGATGATTAAATTAATGTCAAAGGATTAGTAAGGAAACGAAGAAAATCTGAGATATAATAGATAAAAACTGTCCCAAAGATTTAAGAAAAAACTTAGAAAGTTGTGTGAGATATGTACTTCCTCGGATAGAAATGAGACACAAAGAACACAAGCAAACACAAATCGTTTACGTGGTTCGATCCAACTGGATCTACGTCCACGGGAGGGAATCAATCAAATAGTTCACTAAGACAAAAGAAATGGAGAATACAAAGTTTATACATAGAGATGAGCCCTCATCTTCCTTCTATGACCTCTCTCTCAAGCGACACCTTGATACAAGGCCTCAAGATGCTCTCCTCCTCTCTAGCTCTCTAGATATTCTCCCATCCTTTGTGGTGGCTTAAGATCTCTTCCCTTGCTCTCCTAAGTCTTACACCCTCTCTATTTATAGAAGCAAGAGAGTGGTAGGTGAGAGGTAGATTGGAGGTAGTAGGTGAACGGTACCACATTACAAAAGTGCCCATTTATTTTAGTTCAATAATTGGATACAAAAGTGCCCATTTACCTTAGTTCAATAATTGGAGGTTAAAATAAAAATTTTTCACCTTGACCCTCAATTGAGAAACTTCGAAGTAAAAATTCCCTCCACCTGGCCCCTGAGGGGCCCTCAGCCCTTGCTTGAGTTTGCTAAGTCCAAACAGTACATGGACTTAGCAATCACAGTTCTTCTGATAAGAGAGTACAGCCCCTTTTTCCTGACTCCTTATATGACGACACGAGGGTCTTTGATTGCTCTGATACAGCCTCTGATGCAGTCATTCTCTGCTTTGAACGAGCATCAGCTTGACTCCAACGTACCTAAAGAAATCAGATTTCATTTGAGCTCTGGTACGTACCTGACATTTGTCAGTACTCGTTCAACTCCATCAAACATCCTTTATCCTGATTGATCCATTTCCAACAACCCTGTGACCTTTATTGTCTCCCAGTAGAACAAATCCATCATTTTCCTGTTGCAGTGTCTCAATGTTGAATTTGGAGGAACTCATTGTCGTGGCTAGGATTGCTGCTCTTCACCCCGTGAGCTCCGCTGCCTTCGCCAACCGAACGGAGAGCTTTGATCCCTTCTGGCAGAGATCACACTTGTTCACCAGAGAAAACTTCATGTTCTGTGCCCGCGCCTCCTTCCCGCAGGCACTCCTCTGCGTCCAGCGGAACAAATCAAAAATTCCTCCTCTGCCTCTCGCACGAGAATAACTGCCTCTCCAGAGCCGTCGCGCTTCGCCAAACTGCTCAGGTCCTTCTGCTTCACAAACTCCCGAACAGGGAACTCGCTGAACCACTCTCTGAACCCTTCTCTGCGCGATCTCCGCCTCTTCCCTATGGCCGAGCTGCTCCCTCCTGCTTCACGAACTCCCGAACAGGGAACTCCTTGAACTCTTCTCTGCGCGATCTACACCCTACCCCTCTTCCCTATGGCCGAGCTGCTTGCAAGACCGAACTCCTACTCCAAAATCTTCTGTTGGCAGTCCGGTCGCAAATTTTTGGCCCTATTTTTGCCCCTCGCTCGCGGACTGTTTTTCCTCCGTCTCGCCGAACCGCACAACCTGTTGTGCAAATCCAGTCGATCAAAGCTTCCATAGCTCACCGAATCTGTTGCAATTCGGCTGCCTGCGACGCGATCTACTTGCTCCTCTATTCGTGAATGCCGAACTCCTCTTCTTCTTCGTTGGCCGCAAACACCTTTACATGGACACCTCTAGCCAAGAAGTATGGATCTTCCCACATACGGTGCCAATTGTTGTGAGATATGTACTTCCTGGGATAGAAATGAGATCACAGACGGTGTCAATTGTTGTGAGATATGTACTTCTTGGGATAGAAATGAGATGCAAAAAACACAAGAAAACACAGATCGTTTACGTGGTTCGATCCAACTGGATCTACGTTCACGGGAGGGAATCAATCAAATTGTTCACTAAGGCAAAAGAAATGGAGAATACATAGCTTATACATAGAGATGAGCCCTCATCTTACTTCTATGACCTCCCTCTCAAGAGACACCTTGATACAGGGCCTCAAGATGCTCTCTTCCTCTCTAGCTCTTCTCTAGCTCTCTAA